TTGACTTTGCTGCTGGGAATACATCCAGTATTTAGTATAATTTCTACATAGTATAAACACGCTTTAACAGTGGATGAATAAAATTATAGTGTTTAAAATGCACAGAAGTTACTAAGCTATGTTGTTTTACCTCCATACTGCCAGCTTGTTTGCTGATGACGTTTGAAGGTAGTGTTTGTGCTTCACTCGCTGACATGGAGCCCATAGGTACGCCAGGCCCCATTGGACCTCCACCACCACCCATACGACAAGACCCCATGTTCTCAGGTCCACCGTTAGGGTTACGACAATTTTGATTTTGATCCTATACAAAAATAATGTAAATATTAGGAATATGTTACTTTACGTATTTGTTCATAAACAATGAATTGTTATCTTACCTGAAGATTATTTGTGGGTCCTCTGAGACCTGTCTGTGGGTCTAATATATCATTTGAGTCAGAGGAAAGTCGCTCCGACTTTAGAGAGCCTGGGCCGCCGAGTTCGCACGACGGAGATTTTGTGGGGTCACCTGATAAGAAAATATTAGTTATATAACATTCTGCCACAAACTGTGTCACATCCGGATCTTTTGGCAAAATAATGACACAATTATACATTTTACAAGGTCTTACCGTCGCTATCCATAAGGCCGTCAATCTCAGTCTTGATGCCGTCAACTCCAAGGTCGGCAGTGGAGTCTTCTCCACCCGACTGACTGTGGGGTTCCAATTTGACCCTGTGTTGAGGTTCGTCTGGTTCTTTTTTCAACGCCGCTGGGGTCGGCAGCGACGCTGACGGCGGGCGCGACCCATGTCCTGATTTGTGACAGAAAAATACACTTTAAAATAAAAATAATAAATATCTTTTCAGAATGACAATTCATGTAGACCTTGACCCAAAAAAAAGATCATTAGTATAGGTACGTAACTTAATTATCGCCTTTTTTCATAACTCTCAAACAATAATTTTATTATAATCTCACTTTCATTGAAAGATTAACTCGGCATAGTATTGTCTATTGCTAGTTGCGTTTACTGAATACTAATCACCTCTGCTCATCAGTAAATTATGTTAAACTATTGAATTGATTTGTAAAAATTACTAGAATATTGCGACTAACGCGATAGAGCAATTCAATGCGTTTGTATCTGTGAAAAGCAACGATTTACGATTTTATAGTATATATCTAGATTGCTAATTATGTGTGTGGATAGATAAAGAATGAGTTGAGCGGGATAATAAATGAGATGAAACAATTACATGCATAGTTGTGCATACTAGTTTGGCTTTCACCATAGCAGTTTAGTTTTCTTCTCTTTAATGGATTAATTTATTAGAAAACGAATACTCTTAAACACAACAAATTAATGTGTTTACATTATTTTTCGTAGGATTGTAGACACTAAAACATTTATTTAATTTAACCAAAACATATATATTTCTATTGTTGACCTTGAAACATTTAACAAGTTTTTCATCATTTCATAAGGACAGTAAACATTTCAAAGTATTATGATGACTCTTAAATAATAATTATGCAAATATTATTGTGTTAGATAAAGATATTATTATCAATATCATACAATATAGTTAGGTCTATTTTGCAATGAATAATTGATACTGTTATGGTCACAAAAGGCTCATTCCAATCAGTTTTCCTGTTTGGTAAGAATATAGATGTTTTATTTAAATGTAAAGAAATTTTACAGCAGAAACTTTTTATGTAATTAATATAGTATAGATAAGGATAATTATAATAAAATGTAATACTAAACTATGATTCATAAATTTAGGTGGTTGACTAAAGGAAAACAATCTTGGTATGACTTTTTATATTGAAAAGGTAGTATAAAATACATACAAAGATTATTTATATTATATAAATTTAGGTAAATACTTTATTGTAAACAATTTTTAAACTACTTTTAGATAAAAGGACATGCCCAGATTGTTTACATTTTGTTAATTACCTAAATTAAAAGGTCATTGGTAATTAAAATGGTTATTAATTTTATGTATCAAATAGCCTACCTATTTTTTATAAATTACATAGTAATAAAGTAAATAGTCAAATCAATTCATGAAAGTGATTATTAATGAATATTTTACCTAATGTCTGTTCAGTTTATTTTTAATTTCTTTTTTTAATTACAATAAGATATCAATAAAGTTAAATATGCTAAATTAGAATAGAATATCCCTTACTCTTGCAATTTTTTTTTTTGTAATGTATACACAGGAAAGTGGGCAGGAATTTTTATTATGATATTTCTTACCGGGCTCAGCAGGATCACTGGGCTCATCCTTGAGGCGGGCGCCTCCGCCCTTCTCCTTCTCCTTGATCATACCCCTGCGTGCCTTCGCCAACTTGACTGTACACACAATAATATCATGTTTAAGTCCTGTGAAGGCCATTTGAAAAGAGAAAATTTAAATTTGTGAACCATAGATCTGTTACGAGTGTTTTTGTGTACCAGTGATTTAATCTTTGTAAGAATGTTATAAATATATGAATTATGGATTTTCCTATTTTGATATTTTCCTGCAGCGATTTATTTGTCCATAAAAATATTGTGCAATATTAACCCTAATACTTAATTTACCAACAATAACTGAGAATAATTATGACTTGGAAGAAAAGCAATACGGCATTAAGAGATCTTGATAAACATTCATACTTTTATTAATATTACAATGAAATCAAACATAGGTCAGTTCTTAGACCTTGGTACTACATCTATTATGCATGAGTTACTAAAATAAGCAGTAATTTATACAAAAAATAATGTTATATCTTTAATGAGAATTTAGCAATACAAAATAACAAGGCAGAATATCTAAACACATTTACTTGAATGTAAATAAATAAAAAAAAATATCTATGAATGTACCTGCTTATCCACAAGTGTGATAAATACAACACATTTATGGGTGTTTAGCACACTGAAACAGTATCACTGTATAAGACAGTACATGACCATGTAACAACACTCTCTAAATATTATTTTATGTCCATGTGATCCCATCTAAGTCAAACATTAATGTTGTGCATTTGTATACATACAAAACTAATCCGTGGCGCGTTTCGTCACGGGCACAATAATTGGCACATGTCCCACAAATCCACAGAACGGCACTTCATTACAAGAATGTCATTATGCTGCACCAAATGATCGAGAGAATATTATAAATAGAGATCACAAAAACCTTGGCGGTCGGGGGGACGCCGATGGCGCGGACAGACCCCGCCGTCACTACCAGGCGCTGAGAAACCCTGATCGTTTCCAGATGTTCAATTAAAACGAGAATACACCGCGAATCCCCATAAAAATTCCTGGCTTATTCTCCATACATAAACAATGAGATAGGTCGGGTGTAGACGGGCGCGAGCACACGAAACGCACGTTTGCTATGGCCGATTTATTGCCTCAGGAACGCTATTCGAACGAGATGATACCACGGGAGAAAGCGTCTAACATTATTTTATATCATTCGTGTGATCTAATTAAGGTATAACGATGGGTATGCAGCAAGAAACAAAAAATCGGGATCGCTGACATTTTTGTTTATGGTACATCGACGAGATCCAGAATCCACAAATAGCGAAAGAACGTACACGATTACCGCCTCCCGACGGATTCACTATCACTTGATAACACAAAACACTGTGTTTGTTCACATTTATGTAAGTTTCATCGTCAAAATATACCTGATTTTATTTAATTTCTTTCTATCAGCATTAACACAAATCACCACGCACACACAACACAACATACATATATGTGCACAACACTAGGGCGATGAGCCGATTAAAATAATTATTATTGAAAATTATTTAGTCGACTATTTTCGTGAAATATTAAATTCGATTGATATGCTACTATGATTAGGTTATTTATGCATATTTCTTGAAAAACATATTTTTGTGATTTGGTAAAGTAAATTTTATTGAATTAATTTTATACGGAGTCGTGTAAATTTGAAGATTTTGGATTTTCTACAATCTTCAGATCTATGTACTAACATACTCTTAACTAAAGTAATGTAATCAACTTAAGATTTTTTACAAAGTGTTATATTAAATAGTTTTTTTTTCAGCTTTTAGCTTTCAAACTCTAGCATCTGGCTTAAGTTATACATACTATACTATACTATACATGCAAAAGAGCCGCTGTAAGAGTAATCTGCAAAGTATTTTCTGTTCTCTGATTTAGTATTTTCATATATCAAAAATTCTAAATCCTACTTTAAATTAAAGATGTCCTTGTTGTCTAAAATATAATCAAGTGCAAATAAACATAAAATTTAAAGTGTAACAACATCGATCACTAATAAATTATTAGTGATAGCGAAATGTAATAGAAAAAAAACAACGATTTTATTTAATGACTATGAGCTCGCGATTGATTTCAGGTTCAAACACTTAAACTTAGTTCATAACAATTCCAATTTTAATAATGTTTACTCTAAAAAGGACTGGAGTATATATTTTAGATAGATAATTTCATTAACTGTTGTAGTTGATTAGTAAAAAGTTTTAGTCGAATGAAACAATTTACTAAATCGGTAAGAAATGCTCTTCACTATGAATCGCAAAGAAAAAAATCGGATACATGTACCGAAGGTAATTCACAGATAATTTATTACTTCGCTATTTCCTTCCTTGTTTAATAAGTGGTTTAGAAAGAGATAAAACTATTTTATTAGGAAATAAATGGCGCTTTTTAATGATTTTAGTTTTATAGTTTTTCACTGTATTTTTTGTTGACTTCGTTAATAAACATAACTACGGGGTCAGTGAGTATTGTTTGAAATACATTTTAGCCAAAATGTAACATTCATAACAAAATCGAGGAAATAAAATGTAGATGTTTAGAAGAACATAGATAAGTCTATGATAGATATATTTATAATTTATTGTTTTAAAAAACTATAAATAATAAAGCGAATTCAAAAATAGTAGAATTTTTAATTATTTGGAGAATTTTAAATTTCTCGCTGGCAGAATGTGGTTGTCGCTGCCACAGCGAAGTCAATCCTTTAAAAAAACACGATTGTCTATGATTCATTACGGTGAAGGGAGGAGGGACGATTTCGCTTCGTTGTCGCCCAAATTATAATTTCATGGTGAATTGTGATAAGATCTTCGTATGTGGATTGAAATAAGTGACGTTATTTGGTGCTTTATTTGTGTGTAAGTGCGTATTTAATACATATTCGTTCACCCGTTTAGTAGAAAAGATTACATTCGGACCGCTCCCTAGGCGTAGAATAGTACGTCAGTCGTCAAGTATTTTTCATGCCTGTTTGTAGGTACTACTTGCTTTAGTAGGGGGCCGCAATAGTAAAAGCTGTTGGAAAGTGCAATCGTACGGGAAACTGATGGTGTAAAAAACTATCTCACGTTCCGTTTATGAGGCGCTTGCCGTGTTGGTGCATTTGTAAAGTTTGTAGCCATTTTCGGTGAGTCTTCATACATTTCGCTATTTACGTGTCGACGCCGATGATAATGTGTTTTACGTGATGATTGACCGCGAATACCGTGATTTGTGAGTTTTGATAACAGTGGCACACGGATTTATGTCATAGTTGCGTAGCATTGTTGAGATTCTTATAAGTCTTATTGATGTGTTCTGTAGTGAAATCTTACCATGTTTTCTTATATATTTTGTTGCTTACATCGGTAACTTGTCTCAAAAGTATGTCAAGTTATTGAAGAAGTCGTTCTGCTGATTAATTTGAAGAAAAAATACCTTTACCCATTTATAAAAGTGATTTTGTAAGTAGTTATATTATGAAACTAACATTAGAACTTCAAGTACTTACTGTTTTCTTTAACCTACATTAGTCATTAAGTGATAAGAAGTTACTAACACATCTAAATATTTGTAAGGTCAGTTTTGAAACCAATATTGATAACATACTATTTATCTGTACCTTTTTGAATTAGTTAGTTATATAAAATTCTTATCTATGTTCAGTAGTAACAAGATTAAACATTAACTGATCTTATAATCTTTGCAAAAAATAGAATATAGTTTTTTGTATTGGTTGACCCAAGTCAATGAATAAAGAGAAATCCAAATTCAATTTTTAAATTGTCTGTCATTCAATGTGAGTTAGTCCATTAGGTACTCTTTTTAATTCATCAACTGTCCAATCATCATATAGTTGCTAGTTTTACGACTATAAAAGTATAAAATACTATAAATATTTATACAACCTACTTCATTTCCACTTAATATACCCAATGTGTGATATTTCACAATCAATTACTGTTTATTTATATGTAGGACACACAAACAGTGAGCACTATTTAAAAGATAGAATACGCACAGGCACTTTTACATACCCCAAAACTATCTCAATTTGAACTTTACTGCAAACGAATAAAGTTGATATTGTAGTTGATTAGATTTAAATACTTTGATCTGCATTATTTGTATAATACACATGAACAAAAATGCTCTAGATTACCAGAATGTTGACTTACTCTAAAATGACAAAAATTGATTTTAATGTGAATTGATGAAAGTCTAGAAGATGAGGTCTAGAAGATTAGATAGACTTTTATCTGCTGTACCACATATTAGCCCAATATCATCCTAGGATGTACCTATATATGCTTGCAGGAACATCAAAATACGCCTAAATTTGTCTTTAGACTTGGATTGAAGGTGCAAGCTTATTACTATACTGTATGGTAGATGGAAAGGGGTGGTTTTAGACAGTAAGAGTCTGATATTCCCACCCGCTCCACCCAAGGCCGCTTAACACATGTCATGATTTTCCCCATTCAATAAAAACCTTTATTATGAATTAATAAAGTTGATAATGTAGTAGTAACATTTGCCCACCGGATCCATTATACTCATGTAGGGACATAAGCATGTCAAGATACCCATAAAATGTCAAAATGAAATTTTATTGCAAATCAATAAAGTTGAAAATGTATATATTGTTATATTTAAATGTCTATAAGTATATTAGTACATATATTGCACAATGCCCTAGGACTCATTCAGTTGTGTTGTAACTGTAAGGTCTATTGTGATTGTTAGAGGCATGTGACTAATCAATTTGACTGAACAATAAAATTGTAGGATGTTGGATGTCCCAGCCTAGCCCAGTTTGTGAATTGTTAGTGTATTTCATTGAATATTGCAAATGTTTTGTGGAATGTGTGTGAATTTATTAGATAGGCATAAATGTGATGTGACTTTACCATAAGATTAGTTCTGTTATTGTTAGTTGTATGATTCCTCTGTCAAATAAAATAAAATTATTCCATGATTTCCTTACAAAATCAGTCATCTTTTCAAAGATAAGATTGAAGTGTAGAGAAAGCACATCATAGTAACCAATAGGTCTCAGTTGCCTATATTGATTGATCCTGAACTTTATGTAGACTAGCATAGCAAATAGTAATTATATACAGGATAATTTTTATGAAAATTGTTAATGTGAAGAGGGATTTTAATTTATGAAATGATAAACTATGTCATTAATTTGTTAATGAACTTAAAAGTTTCTGAAAATGTGAGTGCCCTGTATTCATATTAGACTAGTAGAAAATAGGTACTTGTGTCAGCTTGAAGTTGTCATGCTCACTCAGAAGTCTCATTGGCACTGGCTAGTTCGATTTCCATTTCCATTACCATTCAAGACTGCCTGAATATTTGTCCTTAAGGTTTTTTTCTTTCTTTGATACTGTTGACGAAATTTGTTTTACACTGTTCTCTCACTGACTGAATATTAGTGTAACACTTCACTCTTGACAGACAGGTTGGAATTAGTCAAAGCTCGTTGGTTAGGTCTTGGAACACCTAAGAGAAGATCAGAGGTCATAGCATATGCATAATGATAATACTCGATTTAATTCCATCATCACACAGCTCAACTTTAGTAGAAGCTTGTTAAAATGACAGAAACTTTACCTAATCTAGTTGGGAACAGTCATAACAAATTCGTAAATATTGTACATACAATAACAATATAAAAAATGCCAAACTATTCAAACCAGTTGGTTCCCAGGCTAGGTAATATTTATTGTATGAAATACAATATAATTATGTATTCATACATACACATTATGTACATACTTTCACTGCCAACATTTTGTGTAGTCATTCCACACATTTAGAAAGCACATATACAAAATAAATACATGTGTTAATCTATTTGCTTATTTACTCTTCTGTACAGTCTAAAAAGACATTGTTTCCAAGGCATTTTTTATCGTAAATTGAAGAAAAACATTTGTTTTTGGGGTTTTATGTTACAAAGGTGACCTTGATTGTCTTTTAAGGGTTTTTGCGATTGATATGTTAGTTTTAGCATTTTTTGAGATGTTGAGCGTCACCTGTTTTTCTCATTATTGTCAAAATTCGGCTTCAAAATTATATTTTCACTAGCGGCACGCTCCCGCTTCGCACGGGTCCAACTATTTCACTATCAGAGGGTCACTTTTTCAAATATTTTCTTTGATAAGAACCTTCTCCTGACAATAACAAACACACCAAAAAAACGAATTAGCAAAATTGGTCCAGGCGTTGTTGAGTTATGCGCTTAGAAACACATTTTGCGATCCATTTTTATATATATTATCATACATTTATTGACAAACTCTGAAATCCTAATATGCAATCAAAAAGAGATCTTGTATTTGGAAGGCGCGGAGTCGTGTTGTCTAGAAAAAAGTACTAAACATTTTTTTTGAGGGGGAATCATCCAATGTTTTCTCTCGTCCAGGGTCAGGCGAGACGGATTGCCAGATTGTTAGCAGTTCCACTCGCTACCCGGCTGCCAATAGTCTTAGCGTGATGTTACAAAGCCATATAGATATCAATAAACGAAGTATGCAACACAAAAAAAAGATGTGATTTCAAACCAGTAGTTCCCGTGATTAGCCCAATCTTCATTATTCTAAAACGTGAAATATAGATAAGTGTTAGGTTAAGAAAGAAAAGGACTTCCAGAACTGATGAAAGGCTTGCACTCATATAACGTATCCGTGGTTACTTATGAATATCTATCAGAATCTGTTGACGACTTTTCACTAAGAGAAAACCAAGCGCGAATTGTCTCAAATCAACCGTTCTAATTGGCCCGAGATTGCACAGTATTTTTGATCCTTACTGCACTAGCCAAGCATACATTAGTCCAGTTCATGCTTATCTCGGCTATGATTAATGCTCTCGTAATTCTTTACGCGGGTTTAGAAGTATCACGTCGTCATTTTCAGCACAGCCTACATGATATTTTTTACACCGTTATCCATCGCACCTTTTATAAAAACTCAGCAAAAAACATAATGTGACAAGTAGAAAGTTTACCGACATTTCCTTCGCACGTTAACTCACATTTTTCTTTTTTTTTTATTACTTACACTAAAAAGTGTGTCTTGTACAAAATGGATCGCTCTAGACTTATTCGAAATTGTAATTTTATCCAAATTACGTCTATAACTTTCTTGGAATAAAATCTCTTATAATTATTGTAATCGTTTTATAAAATAATAATAGAATACAACCAGGCTCTTAATTTGAAGCCTAGTGGTCTTAATCTGTCTTCTTTTTGGCAGAAATAAATGTTAAAACATTTCGAAGCTTACAAAATCGTAATTGAAAAACCTAGTGGTCTAAATTTATTTTTTTATTAAATAAAAATGTTTGTGATGATATTCGGTGTGGAAATGGTGGTTGTCGTTATATTCCACACAGCATCGGAAGTCCTATCATAAATATTTTGAGTTGCCTTCGTACTCAGCTAATTGCCTCGGCAATTAACCCCGTTATGAGCAAAGTGTACTGCGAATGCACCAAACGGCGACTGTGTCTTCACCAGATTAACAATGGGCTATGGAGCTTTCTTTTATTGCCTCTGTATACTTATTTCTTTGATAAATTGAAGTTAATTCATTCGTCGGCGCGCACTTTTTGCCCGGCTGTCCCACGAAAGTATTGTTAATTAAAATAAAAGCTTCGCAAAAAGTGGAGGCGTTTGAAACAAAGTGAGTGCAAGTTTTAGTAACCGTGATATTAAATATTTTACGCTCTAATTATTTCCGGAATATATATTTTCCTGCTTTTAAAAAGGCTATGAAATAACTCCTGTTTTAGTGGTAAAGGCCATCTCAAATTGTGTGCTTCAACATTTTCCTAATAAAGATTTGTAGGATATGTATTTGAAATGAAACAAAGTTTAACGGGATTATGGGGTTTATGTAGGGTTCGCGAAGGATCGTGCCCAGACTAAATGCACTACAAACTACCCAAGACGGTTACCAAATTATCTAAAGCAAACAACACACCCCATACAGCCGATTATTAAAGTAAATATTTGTTGTTTAAAGTTTGCATGGATTAGAAAACAAGAGCTTACCTACGAAAATTGTTTTGGCTTTGTTTAAATTTTATCCAAGTTGATGTTCTTGAGACTTCTGGCCAAAATATTAATTACGTATTCGTTACCAGGTAAAGTGGGATTTGAGAATTACACTTGGCGTTCCGAACATTCCTTGTCAAGTAACTTTACCTATCACACCCGTTTTTGCACCGTCAGCATATTATACTAACTGACTGCTGATTATGTATAACGGTCAATGAATTGATCTCTCTTGAAATACAATACGCTTTTGGTAAGCTGAGATATTTGAACTTTAAGTACCTCAAAACCTCAAACATTTGTAATGTGATTGTATGTCGATTCTACTCGATAAATTGTACATAGTTACTTTTATTTCGACTTGCATCTCTTTACACAAAAACTTATGAAGATTAACTGCAGTGAAGACTTAAAGTTATAACATTACATGCCAATATTGACTTAGTATATATTGACACTAATTAATCACTCATCTGCATCACGCAAATTAACCAATCAACAGATGCAATTATATAACTAAATATTTACCAAGGATCATCAAAGTGATGGTCATATAATCTAGACTAATTGGTTTGCAGCCACTTTATGCCCACAGATTAATATAACACTCCCTTGATTGCGTTGCTCGTCATAAAACACACGAGAGCCTGAATCCGCTAAGCGCATCAATCAGAACTAATGATGCATTCTAAAATTGAAAATGAAATATTCATTTAGAATTTTGTCACAGATTGCTTTTATCCGACTAATTAAAAAGGAGTGTTGAGTTCATGATTAAAATTAAAAAAAGGATTAGTAGAGAATGAGGTTGTTATAATTAACTTAAATACTTATTTGAATAAATTAAAAGCATAACATGTATAAAAATATCAACCCAAATCTTAAAAAATGTGCAGGAAATGTTTGCTCTTAAATATACGGATCAACATTTCTCCGTAGGTATAGACATAAGATGTCAGTAATTACTCTTCATTCTTTCATTTACAAGTAATCCTTGAGGATATTATTTTATATTGCGAGGGACACCACTCAAAAAGGTTGGATACCACGGCCTTTGATCCTGGCTGGACGCAAAAGCACGTGTTTTGAGATTGAATTAACAAAGTCTTACGCTCTTTCACATGACCTTGTCCCGCGACACTTATCCTCTGACACTTCTGATTTTCCCCGTTATAATTTATGAATAGACCATCACACGTGATAAGAGGCACCTTTCATTTGTACATAAAACGTTTATAACCGACTGTATTGAAAAAATTGGACAAATTGCATCAATACTTTTTCAATAGAAGCTTTTTTAGAAATAGATCCTACGACACCATGCTTTAGGATCTCCGGAGTTGGTCTTTTGGAAGTATCCGTTACAGATGCTGATGGTAGCCACCAGGGAGGTTTTAGAGAGGCGAAAATGCCCCTAGTCTTTTCCCCAAAATGCAAGGCGCGTTTAAAATGTAACCCTCGTCAAAAAAGGCCGTTTTGCTTTGATACATTCAGTTTTGATTTTTACAAAAATATCTCCCTAGTTTCAACCATAACTGTTTGCGGTAACTGTGTTTCAAGCCAATCGTTTAGCCTGTGGTACATGAAATAATCCGATTTTGGCTAGCGTTGCAACCTGAAACGGTCCCAAACAAAATAGATGACATAGTTTGTGGTAGCGAGCCGGTTCTTTGCAAACTGTACCTTTTTTGCTGATTAAAAAACCTCGTAGATCCCTATTCTCGACTTTTTAAATATTCATAGTTGTATGTTTTGTGTTTGCAAATAGTTTCTACTAATCTTTCTGTAAAGATTATGGCTGGCTTTTGAGTATTATTTTTAAGATTTCATCATAAGTTTCGTAATTTTATATGTAATAATAAAGGTCGCAGAACTTCGATAAAGTCAAACTGCACTTTGGTGATAATGTATCGTATTTCAACCTTTTCCTGCTCACTTTTCAAATGGCCATGGTTTCTTTATAAGTGTATTAGGTGCACCCGTCAACTGCTTCGTGTTTAGAGTTTTTATTTAAGCCAATTTTTCTATACTTGAATCAATAAATTGGCTGTACTATTTCTTGTTATTTATCGATATAGGACACTTTAAGAACGTATACGTATTTCGGCCTTTTTTCGTCTATGACCGATATATATGTAGATACAAAAACTGTTCCGTTTGTCAGTCCGCTACGAAACCCAACTTTACTCTTAAATTTTATAGTATCTACCAATGTACAGAAATCTGAACTCTTAAAATTTCCCGTCAATTTCGAAAGCAGATGCAGGTTTATAGAAAAAATGTTAAAGACTGCAAGAAATGTTTACGTAACTTAGCTGAAGTCCACCAGACAGGGCTGCCATCCATTAAATAACTATCACTTTTTGCTGCCAATGAAAGTTCGTGCGATTTGCAATGGTAATCTCTAGAAAATTTTATTCTGCATACAAAGGAAGGCATTGTATGCAAGCAATTTTCGCCTTTAAAGTCCCCGTCCATTATTCTTAATTACGAGGACCAGGAGGTCAATATTCGGACTAATTTTCCTTAATGATTATTTTACTTTGTGTCTTGATGACCGAGGTATGAATAGGACTTTTGTTATCATCCAAATTTTGACTTGAACAATATTTACTTGTTGTTGAAGCCGAGATAAATAAAACAAGTATAAATGTTGTATGTTGACTTTAATCTTATGTATCTTGGGTTATAAATAATTTATCTACACCCCGAAGAACACAACACAAGTTCATTGTAGTTATATTGTGATTAAAGAATATTAATGAAAAATTATTCGACTGGTATCGTTTGTTGAATACATATTAGTTTAATCGGTCCATTGTTAATACTTAATAACACAATACGAACATGAATAATACTTGTACGAGCCATAACCGCAAATATTTATGCAATGATCATTAACGACTTATGTACTTGAAACAAAAACAGCGACAAATAATACTATGTAGGAACATAAAAACTCAGATTTCAAGCAGGCCTATTTTTGTCTCAAGTCGACGCCCACCATCATTAGTTTTAGATTATCATCCTTCATATTGAATTCCTTAAATGTTTACCTAAGTGCTGACGCCTACATTTTGTGATATTGAAATGAAAGGACGCGCTACTCGATACCAGAATTTGTGTAGACATATGTCAGTGGTGATATAACACAACCCTTCTTAAGGATCCGACGCAAATGTATCTCCCAAAAACATCTAAATGAAATTCTGCAGCACTTATCACATATTTTCTCCTTACCAAAAGATGCGCTGGAAAACACCAAGTTTTCTCGTATATTTCAAACTTTACTTACTACATTTTTATTCCTGCAAATGGCCGCTAAGTGGAGACCTAGTTTTCAACTTCAACGTAGAATTGTTTGTTACAGGTGAATTGAATCAACATCAGTATTATCAAGAGCAGCTCATAATGACATTACGTTGTAATACCTTAAGTGGCCATTAGGGTATCATCGGTCCAGTTTAGACATGATAAGAAGACCACAGCAGACATGGACGGCGTGAAGAAAATACATTCTGGAACACTGTACCGGTAAGCCCATTTACGTAATTACACAATTTATCCTGACCATCCAGGTATTTGAAAACAAGGCTGATTCGCAATTAAGGCCTAATAGAGCTCATTGCTTCCAAAAGTTACCTTTTATTGTGTTTATAAGAGAACCTTACATTTTCATGGACAATTTACCTTTGTCAAAACATTTATTTGACTCGAGAAAATCCTACCTCAGTTATATTTTCGTTTCTGTGTTGTCTTTTGCGTTTTCAAGGTACGGTTTCAAAGCGAATTTGAGATCCTTGGTGCAAGCTGCAGGGATACTCTGTGTAATGTGACGACAAACTTGATGCCACAATGTTACTGACCTAGGACATTCGCATTTGGAATTGATTGGGAGGATATCCCGCTACTTGTAGGTCGTTAGAGCTTCATTGTTCGTTGTCACTGCTTGCATGCATGATTCGGGACTAATATACATGTGTTTGTTGCTTGTCTACTAACATTGAATTGACATAGGAGATGGTTATTGGAGTTTTTAGGTAAACAACTAAAAAGGAAGGCCTTTTTGATCCTTAATGAGAATGGAGGATTAAACTTTAGCGTTTCCAGAGATCTGAATTCTTATTATTTTCTAGAAACTCTCTGAGGAATCCGAAAGTAAATGGTGTGTACCGTGCCTACTTTTAATTATCGAAAAGTGTATTCCTTACCCCTTTTTTCTTTGACCATTTTTTCAAGGGTAAGGTAAGCGTTAAGCGCCAAAACAGTTCGAGTTTCCATTGAAAAGGATCGAAACCTGATATACAACCAACTCCTTTTATAAGTTTCGCATTGAATGCCCATAATGGCTTTTTCCTTTTCCCCATTTTGCCAAGCTTCTGCTAAATAGAAAATTTTAGCCATATATTTCCTGTATTAGGCGATTATTCGTAACCTTCAAAAATGTTAGTAGTAAATGTTAGTAGTAAAATGTACGAAATAAAGAGTCTTATTGCTAGGAAGGTTGCTGCAAGGTGTAAATACAAAATTCGCCCAAGTGACGTCAACAAAAATAAGTACATCGCGATAAGAAATCACTGCAACAAGGTGTGTAGGAATGCAAAACGCCAACACATCCATAAATCACTTGAAAATAGTGATCCGGCCAAGATCTGGAAGTTTCTACGTTCTTTGGGCATCGGGAAATCTGCTCAAAATTCTATTCCAAAAAATCTAGATTTAAACTCTCTTAACTGTCATTTCTCTTCTTCGCCCGCTATGGACGGGGCAACTAAGGCTACTACCTTACTTTATCTTTCTCACCTTCCGATACCTGATGTTCCTTCCTTTGTTTTCGGTCAGTTTTCCGAGGGGGATGTTAGGAGAAGCATTTTGTCGTCTACGTCAAATGCCGTTGGTAGTGATTGTGTTAGCCGTAAGATGCTCATTCCCATTCTTGATGAAATTATTCCTGTAATCCTTCATGTTCTAAATTCTTCCATTACTGATAAAGCTTTCCCTCTGATTTGGAAGGAGGCTTATATAATCCCACTTCCCAAAAAACCTAATCCTACTTCCTTTGCCGATTTTCGCCCTATTTCCATACTTCCTTTCTTATCAAAAATTTTAGAAAAGCTGGCTCACCAACAACTAAGCGCATTTTTATCCAAGCACAACCTCCTTAGTCCCTTCCAATCTGGGTTTCGACCGGGGCATAGCACTACGACGGCACTTGTTAATATAACAGACGATATCCGGTCGGGCATGGAGTCAGGTAAATTAACGGTACTTGTGCTCCTAGATTTTAGTAATGCTTTTAACACCGTTGACTTCGACTTAATGCTTGGCGTGCTCAGTTCTTTTGGCATGTCTCCTTCGGTGATTGACTGGATTCGAAGTTACCTGTTGGGCCGCCGTCAGCGTATTCACCTTGATGATTCTTATTCCTCATGGTGTTCCACTGCTGCCGGTGTGCCCCAGGGTGGCGTGTTATCTCCTCTTCTATTCACATTATTTATTAATTCTATTACTCAAGATCTCTCTTCTTCCTACCACCTTTATGCAGATGATCTTCAGATTTACGCACAGGCATCGCTTGAGGATGTATCAAATGCTATTGCACTAATTAGCGCTGATTTGGCTCGAATAGCTGACTGGAGCTCTAAATTCGGTTTGCAAGTGAATCCGTCTAAATCACAAGTGACTATCGTCGGCAGTGCGCGTGCAGTATCTAAAATCAGCTTTGCGAATCTTCCTCAGGTTTCTTTTCTTAACACCGTTATTCCTTTCTCCCGTGACGTTAAGAACCTGGGGATTTATATCGACAGTAGCCTTTCCTGGAATAAACAGTTGCAAGTGGTCAGTCGAAAACTGTTTGCTTCGGCAGGTGCCTTAAGGCGATTTCGAAATTTCTTACCCACTCACACCAAAATTGCACTTGCTCAGTCTCTTCTTCTACCAATAATCGACTATGCTGATGCCAGCTATCTAGATCTCACCCAAGAACAATTGGATAAGCTTGAGCGACTTCAAAACTTATGTCTCAGATTTATATTTGGTTTGCGCAAGTATGATCATATTTCTGAATTTCGTATTAAGCTCAAATGGCTACCAATTCGCCTTCGCCGGAACGCTCATATTCTTTCTCTACTGTATAACGTACTCTTCAATCCTGCAGCCCCTTTTTATCTAAAAGAACGTTTTCAGTTCCTTGGTGACACACATTCTAAGTTCCTGAGATCATCAGAGAATCTTAAGCTCAGTATCTGTAAGCACACCACCTCTTTTTACGACAGGTCATTTACGATTCAGGCTGCACGAATGTGGAACGCTTTACCTGTGGAAGTGCGTCGTGCTCAGTCACTGTCTCAGTTTAAAAGACTTGTGAAGGAGTATTATCTAGCGCTATAGACTTCTGTTTCACACACACACACACACACACACACACACACACACACACACACACACACACACACACACACACACACACACACACACACACACACTATATATATATATATATATATATTATATGTATATATGATATAACTATATTTACACATTTCTTTATTTTTATAATATATCTTATTTATGTAGTACTTATTTCAACCGTACACTACACTACCCATGGCCAAATTTCTTATACATTCCATCTAAAGGTTGTCTGGAAGAAATCACCTTGTGTGATAAGACCGCCCATTGTAACAACAACTTTCGGTCATTGTATCCAATGTATTACTACTTGGTGTATGTGTGCAATAAAGTATATATAAATATAAATATAAATAAATAAATGTTAACATTTCAATTGAAATATCCTTTTGCATGTATTTCCTTTTAGTTATAAATGTTATGTAAGTCTCTTATAATATGTTATAAATTGGTAAATGCTCTTCATCCACTGACCTGAGGATAAAGTCGACGCGAGAACTTAACCACGTTTGGCACGATAAAGCGATTTAGTTAGATTTCGACTAAGGAAAGCTCATTTTAAGGGTCAAACTGGCAATAGACTAAATGTGTTAGCGCTACTGGAGAAGCTAAGCCTTATTCAGTCTAGGTAGCAACAATATTAACGAAATCTAGAGACTGCTCCGTATTTTCCAGTTCTTTTATGAGTAAGTATTTAGTTTTTTAAGCTTCAAGACCTTCACAAAAGGGCTTTCCTTAATGTTAACAATCCAAATTGAGTGTCGTCTAAACATAACTGTGTAACAATGTCAAATTCCATCAGTCTGGCAACTAGCTTCGTATCAACGCAAATACATAATAATGACATAACTAGGAACTATACAGTGGTACCTGAATAATACAATAACCACCGAAATCTGCGGCGTTTCAATATACGGTATGTTCTAGTGCTTTGTCACAAATTTTGCATGTCTAAATTGTCTAGCCGGAAGCTGAACATTGACTTGCACGGGCTGCCATAGTCCCGCACTAGTTATAACTTAATAACTGCTGTTTATGTTCGCTAACATCCAGTTTTAATTAGGAACTAACTTTATGCAAGCGAAATTTAGGAGAGTTGAATTTACTCTGTATCCGCTACTAACATAAATGTTGTCGTATTTTACTCCGAGGGGAATCTAAAGAATTTGTTCAGGACCTCCTTCATTTTAAAGACATTATGCTCAAGAATGTCAGAACAAGTTTGCAAGTTATTGTGATTGCAGAATTTCGCCTCTAAACTCTGTTTCGCAACTCGAAATATAGTCGACTTGTTTTCTATCCCGATTTAACTAGCAAGTATTCACTATAACATTTCCATAGTCGGATTATTATTGAGTAGGTTTGTTAATTTCATTGCGATTTTCCGGTCCCGATAACTCGGTGACACAGAATCGATTACTCGGTAATGGTGCAATACCCTCGATACGTTAATCAAATAAGGAAAAACTGCATATTAACGGTAAAATCGTAGTGATGTCACATAGTACAGATTTCTTCGTAAAATAGACTACTATTTATTTTATTTCTTTTCTTACCAATCAATAGTGCTCCCAAACTGTCAGGAGCACGGTCGTTATTGGAAATCTGACACGAATTCTTAACTGTCTTTTTTTATTTATTAATGTCTACTAGTCAAGCGAATTCGCGAGATTTTAGATTGAATTCAGACTTAAAATTGAGGTCAGTGATGCATTTTTAATTTAGACTAGAAGACATGTTGACTTTTGAACATTTCTGTAAATCACTGGGGCAATTAGTTTGAAGATCTTTCCGACGGCTATTCAATTATGTATTCATTCGTAGCTGTGCCTCGGGTTCGTTTCAAATGACCCTCAGAAATGGATCCAACAATAAGTTTGGGCCGAAAATCCTTCAAACCTTTGGACAAATGCCTATTGAGTTTACTCGAGTGATCCATTACATATTTTCTTACTATTAAAATGGAGGCTCGCATTGATTCGCAGGACAAACCACAATGATCTATTGTGTAACCCACATCGTTTGCTGTATGTATGTAAAAACAATAACTGACCGCATAGATAGGCGGTGTTCCATTTCCATCCCATCTCGTGTAGTGAGATCACTTTATGAACAACACGACG